CCCCCGCAGGCCCGGCATGTGACCGGGCAGGCAGAGGCCCCTTGGCCATTAGGGCGAGCCGTGGCCACACGCCCAGGCCAAGGCGGCTCTCCCAGGCCCTGCCCCACTGGGCCCCGAGGTTACCAGCTTCTCTGGGCCCAGGCAGTCGTCCTCCGCGTCGGACGAGGTGACCGGGTCCTCGGCACTTGACCAGCCTCCGTCCTCCTCGGGGGCCTCTGGGGAGTGAGCTGCTTTGCTCCAGCCTGGGAGAGGGACAGGCTCCGTGAGTCCCCACACCCCGTGGACTGCAGCCCGAGCCCCACGCCGGGCCGGCCATCATCCTGGGGCCATCGGGGCCTGGCAGGACACCTCTGCCCAAACGCTCAACCGACGGATGTGGTTGTGGGGATGGCTAGCGGCTGCCCACGGCTCTGGGCCGGCCCTGTGGGAGGAGGGCCTGCCTCCCGGGGGGGCCCACATCTGCCCTGTCCGAGCCAGCAGTGGATACCCCAGACGGAAGGCGTGCCCAGTGAGCACTCTCATGTAGCACCAGTGGGGAGACAGCTCCCAGGACGGAGGCCCCGAGGGCGACAGGATGGCCCCGTGGGAAAGCCGGGCTGAGTCCCTGATGGTGCCTGACGGGGCCCGAGACACCAAGCTACGAGCTGGGCCACAGCGTCCGGCGGCAGCCACCTCCCCGGGTCAGTGAGGAGAGGACAGAGCTCTTCTCGGGGTCTGCCATGACAGACTGCTCCCCAGGGCTCCACTGCCTCTCCTCTTAGGGACAGAGGTGACAGATTCCCAGCGCGGGGTACTGGGGAGCTGCAGGAGCCCGAGCCCGAACCCTGACCCACAGCGTCACTCGCACGGGCAGGAAGGCCCTGCGGGTTCTGACGGGTGTCATCCCCACACTCCTCTTGGGGCCGTGGGAGTGCACTTTTCCCTGAGCCGAGAGGTGGGTTTGCAAGAAGTGACATGTGTGGATGAGGCGGTGCCCCCTGCTGTCTGAGCGGCCCACGGCATTCAGGTCGGCTAGGGGAGAAGCCACTCGTGTCTGCCCAGCCAGACGCCCTGCAACGCCCGCTCAGCCCGGGCCTGGCTAGGTTGGGCCAGCTGCAGGCAGGAGGCATGGCAGCGCATGGACCCGCCTGGGAAGGCGCCATGCTCACTTCTGCCGCGGGGGCCACGAGCTCCCAGATGCTGTGTACAGCCCCACCTGCTCCGCACACTCCAGCCTGAGGCAGGAGACAAGCAGCCCAGGGCAGGCGGGGCCTGGGCACGGCCCCTCCCTAGGAAGCACTGCTGAGGCCTCGGTGGGACAGAACCAAACCCATCTGAGGACAGTGGTCGTGGAGGCTGCATCTGGCCCCGGCATCGGAGGACAGGCTGCCAAGAGGCAGACTCCCGGATGTCTCACCAGGCCTTGCTGGGTGGGTCAGGGCCTCTGTCAGAGCAGAGGATAGGAGAGGGAGGGAGAGGGGGAGAGGGAGGAGAGGAGAGGGAAGAGTGCTCCTGGGTCTCTGTCCAGAGCCTCTGGGGACCGGCTAGGGCCGTGTCCTCTGCTAGGGCCTGAAGGGCAGTGGCTCAGCCCTGAGTTGATGTGTGGCGGGGTGGGGACAAACGTGGCCAAGGGTGTCAGCCGGGCACTGTGTTTCCAGGGGGAGACCCTGGGGGCTGCGGGTGGAGGTGATGCACACGCGCCTCCCCTCCCGTCCACACGGCAGTCCCGGGCACTGCCTGTGTGTCACGGCACGGACCAGGCTGGCAGAGGGTTCGAGGCCCGTCACCGGCTACCAGCAGAACAGTCGGGGGCAGAGGGCCGCATGGCACCTGTTGTCAGGACCCTGCAGGGCCGCGTCGTCTCCATCCCTGGGTGAAGACGCGCGAGACGAGGTGATGCACGGGGCAAAGCCAGCGAGGGCGCCTCTCACGTCACCCCCCCGCGTCCCACCCGGGCAGCACGGCTGGCACTTGGGGCACAGGACCTTCCTGGGGCCTTTCTCCAGAGCACCCAGTGACAGCCTCCAGTTCACGGCCAGTGCCAGCCGCTTGCTCCTCATCCCTCACCCCCAACCCGGCAGCAGGGGCTGAGCCCTGGGCTCTGGTGCAGCCGGACCGGGCTGGGAGGAGTCGGGGAAGGTTCTGGTGCGTGGGGGGTCCCGACGCAGCCCACACCCTGGTAACCGCTGCGATTGTTGGGGAACTCAGGAAGGCTCAAAATGTGAAGTCCCCTCTGAACTCGAGACTCCCAACCTGGGCCAGGGGAGACCATGCGGTGTCCCAGTACTTTGGGGGCCCTCGGATATGAGTGGGCTGGGCAGGACGGCCGGGTCCCAGCAGGGAGCTCACCGCTATAGGGACAGCATGCACTCCCCCATGGGCCTGGGCCTGGGCATGGGGTGGGGTGGGGGTGGGTGCAGAGAGCGGGGCAGGAGGGCCAGAGCTGCACCCCGAATGGGACGGCCCTGCACGGCGGCTGAGCGCGGACTCCCAGGTAGTGTGGCGGTCTGTGGCCTCTGCCAGGGGCAGGGGCTCCTCGGCTCTGGACAGAGCAGCAGGAGGGCGGGCACGGGCAGGCACCCTGGTGCGGGCGCCGTGCTCCGGCCGGGACGCCCGCTGCTCCGCGCCTTGGGGAGTGCAGGGCGCCCAGCGACAGGCCGGTCTCTACCTCGTAACCCGAAGGGAGTGGGGTCGCTCTTTACTTCGTGCCGCTTGGCTTTTTTGTCAGGACTGGTAGGAGAAGCTGCAGGAGGAGGACAGAACAGCAGAGTGAGGGCCTTGGAGAGCGCGGGGCGGGGCGGGCCCAGGGAGCGATGCTGCTCCGCGCCTTGGGGAGTGCAGGGCGCCCAGCGACAGGCCGGTCTCTACCTCGTAACCCGAAGGGAGTGGGGTCGCTCTTTACTTCGTGCCGCTTGGCTTTTTTGTCAGGACTGGTAGGAGAAGCTGCAGGAGGAGGACAGAACAGCAGAGTGAGGGCCTTGGAGAGCGCGGGGCGGGGCGGGCCCAGGGAGCGATGGGGTGGCGGGCGGGCGCTGGCGCAGCACCTTCCCTGGGCCTGCTGCCCACACATGGCCAGGACCTGATGTGTGCCCCATCGCTCACACTCAGGGCCGGGGACCCTGCATTCTCAGAGCCCCCTGCAGAGCCCTCTGCCCTCGAGCTCAGACCACGAAGCCGGCAGCCTAGAGGGCAGGCCGTCACCCAGCGATGGGGCGGCAGGCGGGCGCTGGCGCAGCTGGGGAGCCCACACCTGCTCCGTGGCGTCCGAGCTGACTCCGTCCGAGAAGCTCCAGCCTCCTCTGCGAGGCAGTGACCCCCCTACAGACAAGGCTGGGCTGTCTGCCGGGCACGTGGGTGCCGGGTGGGCTCCCGAGACCGCGCAGAGGGCCCCTACGTGACAGACACTGGGCCCGACATGACAGACATGGGCCCCTGTATGACAGACACAGGGCCCTGCGTGACAGACACGGGCCCCTGCGTGACAGACACGGGCCCTGCGTGACAGACACGGGGCCCGTGGCGGCCCTTACCTCTCTGGCCTTTGAGGTTGGCGAGGCCCTGCAGCGTGAAGCGCTTCCTGGGAAGTGCAGAGCTCTCCGAGGTCGAGCTCATGCCAGCGTCATCTGCGAGGCAGATGGGCAGAGGGTGGGCCTGGGGCCGGGCAGGTGCAGAGCTGCTGGGTGCACGGGCAGACGAGGGGCCTGTGGAGGCCCGGGGCTGGCAGGGCCCTGCCTGCTGCGGTCCTCCCGCATGGCCGCGGCTCCGTCGGGCCTCACCCACCTCTGCCCTTCTCGGCGGGCTTGGGCAAGGACGCTGGGCACCCACATCCTTCCGGGCTCAGGGGGCCGGTCCTCCTCTCCTCTAGCTTTCTGGTGTTTCCTTTGGAGGGACTGATGGCGTCGGAGACAGAAAGGAAGACGTGTGGCCTCGGGACCCCTTCAATCTCTCCGAGAACCCGCGGGCCCCCATGGTCAGACGCCCCCCAGCTCCCAGCCAGTCCCATGTGGCCCATCCTGCGCATGGGACACTTCTCATGGACCCAGACAGCCTGGCGACCCACCAGGAGGCAGCCTCTGGGAGCATCTGTCTGCAAAACCACCGTCCCTGGGGCTCCCTCGTGCAGACCCTGCTGAAGCCTGACTGAAGCGGTCCCCTGGGATACAGGGAGACGTGGGCTCCCTGGGCTCGAGCCTGGGGTGCCATGGACCCACCTGAGGTCCACCCATCCCCGAGAGGTGTGACCGACGCATCAGCAAAAGCCATGTGGCACTGACCGAGATGGAACCGCAGGACAGACTGCCTGTGAGATTCTAGGCCATGCACGCTCAGGCCCAGGGCAGACTCCATGCAGCTCGGCACCAGGGTCTGGCACAGAGCTGAGGGACTCCAAGCAGACAGGAGGGGTCCAGGGCCCACTCACCTGGCGCCCGGCGCCGCGGGCAGAGGCAGGCTCTGCGACTGCTCCAGCGCACGGTGCTGGCTGGCTTCTGTAAGCAGACCACATGGCACTGACCACCTGCACGGGCTTGGGCTGTGAGTGCCATGCGTCCAGTGTCCCGGGCTCCTGGGCGGGCCGACGCCAAGGGCAGCCCTGCGGCACCCACCTCGGCAGGCCCGCAGCTGGCTGGTCAGCACCTTCCGAATCTCGCTCACCCACGCCGCTTTCACCTCGGGGGTTGGTGCCTGCCCCCAAGAAATGCCGGAGTTACTTCCTGCTCTTAGGGAGGCACGCCTGATGCTTTGCCCTCGAAACATCAGGGACTAACCATCAGCTCAGGGCATGTGAGAAGCCAGAAGGGCAGACACAGCCGCGGCCTGGGTGGGGGAGGCCCCGTGGCCGGTGCTGGCACCCAGGGCCACGCCTTGGCGGAGGGCGAGGAGCCGGCACCTCTGCCCAGCCCTGACTGCTCACTCGGACACCAGCCGACCTTGGGAGGGGCTGACTGGGGGTGGACGTGACCTGGCGTTCAGGTGACAGGGATGTTGCAGGTTGAAACCCACAAGTAGGTCCCGAGCTGCCCTGGTGATGGCAACTGGCCAGGAACAGAACCGTCCTGGGGTGCGAGCCTGTCCCCATACCACACACAAGACCCTGCGGGGCTGGGTTGAGTGCTGGCCCCATGGCTGGGGTGTCAGGACCGAGAGCGTGGCTCTGCACAGGCCTGGGGCCAGAAGCAGGTGTGTCGGGGCCTGGCACCAGGGAGGTACAGTCTGTCATGGGGTGCGTGGGGTCTTCTAGGGCTCCTGGACGGGAACCCCCAAGCCCCCCCACTGTGGCGAAGCGGGTGCAGAGCTACACACATGACCCAGGGCCGGGCCTGGGGCTGAGCAGGGCACCAGGCTGGCGTGCTCCTGCTGCCCCAGGCTCTGGCAGCCCGGTCTGCACTCTGCCCTGAGTTTTGTCCTAGGCCTGGCTGAGGTTAAGAGGTGGCTTGAGGGGCCAGCAGGGGGCATGTGGTTCAGGTACTGGACTCCCACATGGCCGGCACTGGTTCTGGTACTGGCTTCAGCCTGAGAATCATGCTGGGCATGGGCGCGTGCGTGGAGGACGAAGGGACTGCTATGTGGCCAGCCCCGGGTGTGATTTCCCTTCTCTGTCCCTTCTGCTGGCTGAAGGGGCCAGCAGGGGACGTGGTGGCTAGCACTGGACTCCACATGGCCAACAGCAGTTAGGGGCGTGGGCGTGGCAGTCTGAGAGCACGCGTGTGTATGTGTGTGTGCCAGAGCCCCGGGAGCAAAGTGGAGGGAACGAGACTGTGGCGTGGCCATCCTCCCGTGGGTGATTTCTCTCTGTCCCTCTCTGTCTCTTGGGCAAGTGTGTGTGCCCATTGCAAAAATCCCGAAAAACCAAAAGAAAGAAAACGGAAACAGAAAAGGGTGTCTTGGGACAGTCCCCAAAACGGACTGCAGTGGCCTCTGGGTGACTAGTGTGAGGCGGGCCGTTCTCGCGAGAAGCCGTCCCCATGCAGCCCTAGGCCAGCCCCTGCCGCCTGGCCGCCCACCTGGATGATGTACACCTCCTCCCTGGCATTGTACCAGATCTCAAACTTCTTCAGGTCCCCCTTCACGTTCTCCGTGATGCCCACGGCTGTCATCTGCACACAGGGAGGCAGGTGTCACCGCCCTTGCCACCTTGCGAGACGGTGGCTGCTCTGAGCAGGGCTAGGAGCAGCCGGCGCCACGGCCCCCGGCAGGCCCGCTCACATTCAGCGACTGCTTGTAGCTGTAGGAAGGCGCCTTCTCGTAGCCCTCCCCGCTCTCCTCCCTCTTCTTGCAGAAGAGCACGGCCTTCTCATGCAGAAACAGGTGCCGTTGCATGGGCTTGAACCGGGCCAGCTCCTTCACCTTGGTGTGCCCTCGCTTGTGGTCCGTCCACACGCTGAACGAGCCCTGCATCAGCAGCTTGCCTAGGTCGCTGAGGTTGCCCTGGTGTGGCAGCAGGAGGCGCTTCAGTCGGACGGCTGAGTGTGCACTCCGAAGGGCCGGAAAGGCTGCTGGTGGGGTGAGGTGGGCCACGGGCGTGGCAGCAGCCCACGGTGCCCAGGGGAAGTGTGGCCGAGCTCAGGTCTCAAGGCAGGGAAATGGCTCCGGGAGCCCAGGGCCCACAGTACCGAGCTCATGCAGGCCTTGGATGGCACAGCCGGCGTGGCCCCTGTGGGCGTGGCCCTCACGCAGAACACAGCCTTAGCTGGTGACATGTGGACAGCGTGCCAGGTGCATCGTGCAGGCACAAGTCAGCCACAGGGACAGCCAGGAGATGGCACAGGGTGGGGGCTCTGCTCACTCAGGGCTTTTCCTCACTAGAGGGTGCACGCGCTCACTAGGACAGGAAGTCAGGATGGCGAGGGGTCACAGGTGGCATGCCCCGCGGGGAATGCTTTCTCACCCCCAATCTCTCTGGGGAGCGCACGTGCCCCAGCCTCCAACGTGCAGGATCAGGGCTGAATGAACACGAGGCTGGACACACCGGGTGGCCACAGGGAGGAAGGGGGCCACGCTCTCGGGCTATGTGTCCTCAGCCACCTGCTGGCCACACCTGCTCCCGAGGATGTGTCATTCCAGGGACAGGCGTGCAGTGACGGCCCCCACAGGAGATGCTGTCCCTCCCAGGGCACCCCTCAGGCCAGCTTGGTGGCCGCAGCCTGGGAGCCGATGCGCCCGGACCGCATTCCTGTGCAGCTGGGCTCTCTGCGGCTGGCGGGAGGGGCTGCATAGACCTGCTGCTGGCTCCAAGCACGTCCGCGGGGCTGGGGTGCTTACGTCATAGCCGGTGATGGCGATGAGGTGCATGGAGTCGTTCACGGCCTTGAGGATGCCCAGGATGGAGCTGAGCGCCTCCTGCAGGTCCTCGGCACCCTCGCAGTTCTTGCTGTACTTCAGCATCTCCTGTGGGAGGGCGGACCCGCTGGCCACCTCGCGGAGCGTGGCACTCACGCCCTCTGCCTGCCCTCCCGACGGATGATGGTAACAATCCCATAGCCTTCTGTGGGGCACCCTCGGGCCACAACCCCAGCCAGGGGCAGAGCTGCCAATGGCTTCCCGCCCGCCCAGGGCCAGACCTGCCAATGGCTTCCGGCCAGAGGGCAGAGGAGGCCGCCAAGGGCCGCTCCAGAAGCGGAGGGCTCCGGGCTCTACCCCCACACCCGGGCCCTGGGTGGGCCAGACGAACAGTCCTGCCCCTTGGGCACTGAGTGAGGTGCACATGGGGGAAACACGGGTGGGGGAATGGCTCTGTCCACCGCCCACCCGACCCGGCGCCTCAGTGACCTCTGGTGGGGCGGGGCAGGCGGGCGCACCTTGAGTAGCAGTTGGTACTTGGTGACCCTCTGCACCGGCTTCAGCAGGTACGAGTCCAGGCCCAGCTTGTGGTACAGCTTCCTCTGGCACTCCCGCGCGCAGGGGGCCGTGG